TGAAAAAAAAGATATCCAAACATAAATCACATTACATTCACAAACTTTTTTTCTAACCTCAGTTTGCTAACCTCAGTTGAATTCTAACTTCAATTATAAATTTTCTAATCCAAACACACCCTTAAGCTTCGTAAATCATCCGTGAACCATGATACTCCTTTCGCTGCTCTATATATATATATATATATGTATGTATATATGTATGTATGTATGTATATATATGTAAGGAAATAAGATTATACCACATAATTTAAAAAAAATTAATTAATTATAATAATTATATTTGAAAATAAAAAAATTTAATGAAAATATTATTTATTAATTAATATAAGTATGTATTAATTATTTTTTATTAATATAAATTATGAGAGATGATTTAAAAAATACGTAGTTAATGCTTATTGAAATATGTAATTTTATTTATATAAAAAATAAGTAAAAAATAATAATTTTTCTTATAAATAAAAATCGTGTAGTATATACCATCAAGCGGCTCATTCGTTCAAACTGAAAAGCGGTGAAAAATAATAAACCAGGAATTAATTAAACATTTTCAAACAAACTGAACTGTTAGGATATGGTGATTAGATTTTGAGATTTTGTTTTTTGATGCGGCGTGGCCACTGACTAATGTACACGGCTGGCGAGCTGTTCTTTATTTTTTATCTGATTACGCTCAAATCTGGATTATTAACTGTCCTTTATTTGGTATCAAGTATAAGATGCTGACATATAAAAATAGCAAAAACATAAGGGAAAATAGCAAGTATGGACTGCCAGATAAAATTTGTATCATTCAAAGACCGATTGTTATTAAAATTTGAATGGAAAATAAATCAGTATATATTGTTGTTAATTTAAAATTAGTTATTATTAAAATTCGAATGAAGATTTATTGATAAAAGACTAACCAGCATTCATTCTGATTTCAACAATAATTTATACTTGATTTATATAAATTTTTTTTTAATGATCCTTGGTTGATTTTTTCCAAAATATAATGGACCTGTCTAAAAATATAAATACTGTACAGTTCAAGAATTGTGGCAGTTCATCTGATAACAAGAAAATTTATACGAACATGTTTTGCTGTAGGCTGCGCATCGTTTAATGACGGACGTGTAATATTTCTTGCACTGAATTTTCCAGCAACCCAAAAAGTTTTAATACATTCCTTTCTTTCTTTTCATTTTAAGAAATACATGTTTGGTATTTATTTGAAAACTATTGAAATGCTTGTGAGAACTAGAAATGTCAAACTACCTTTGACACATGCTAGGGAAAAAAATTGATGTCTTTCCAATTTTTACCGTCATTTTGATAATTAACTTTCAATTGCTTGGTTCGAAAACAAATTAGTTGCTTAAGTTTTGTATTTTGTTTTGCGTTTCCCTTTCATTTTTATAAAAAGAAAACAAATTAAACGTGACCGTGGGTGTCCAACGTGAGATCAAGTTTATTTTCAAAATCATCGAAATTATATCTACGACAAACTAATTTTTAAAATAAAATGTTCGTGTTTCAATCAAAGTATTGAAAATCAAATCGATTATTGAACCAGTCAAGTCAACAGGTTACGGGTTAGTTATTTAATCAGGGTTGAATCAGGAGTCAACTCAGAAAAAAAAACCGATTATGATTAAAATAATATAATTTAAATAAAAAAGACATTAATCATGAAAACATTCAACAAAATTTAATATTAATCTCTAATATAACCACCCAAAAATCTAGCAATAATAAAATACAACTTCCTAAATATTCATTCTTACAATTACTCGTACAATTTACAACTCTTCAATTACTAAAAAATCTAAAACTAATAATCACTAACACTAAAGTGCATGTTTGGATTTCAGTTGGATATAATAGATTACAAAAATAATTGATCAAGTGGTAGATTTTAATCACAATTGATTATGTTATAACGTAACCTGTTTGGATACTAAAATTGATTTCAACTGTACAAATTATTATAAAAGACATTACTTTTCAAAAATAAATTATTGATAAAGTTGTATTTAATATTAATAAATTTGTTAAACTGTATTTAAGAAGCAAAATATATTATTTAATAATAAAATTGAATCTATAAGCAACCTCCTAGAACTTATTTCAAAACTTGATTTTGGCTCAATAATTAATTATCATACAAAATTAAATTATTAATAAATTTATATATAATATTATTAAATTTTTTAATTTTATTTAACATGATTATGAATTATTGAAAAATTATTGACAAATTAATATGGCAAAATGAGAACCAAAAGTTAGTATGAATAGCTTTAAAAAAGAATCAATTTTGGCATGTTTAATCGATCATGCCAATTATATGCTGTTTGGCTAATTTTGTTTTAAAAAACGATTAAACACTCAAAAATTGATTTTGGATGCAAAACAAACAGGTACAAAATCATCAACAATGACAATCATAATTCATAAATGCTAAGCAACCATCAAATAAATGAATAACGGCAAATAATGGAAGATTAAAACAGTTAAGACACAATTAATTTAGAAGAATACTTAATTTTTTAAGTTCGAACTTATAATTAAAGCCTTCTACTTAAAATTCAAAGTATAAACAGTGAAATCTGGTTTAATTGCTTGCTTCCACTGCCTTGCTTTTTAAATTCTCAAGTTGAAATTTTTACTTTTTATTTTTTTAAAATTTTAAAAATAAAAATAAAAAAAGTGACACAACTGACCCAACAATTCGGTCAGGTTAAGTAGGTTGTCCCGAATTGACCGTAGGTTAGTCGAGTCACACTAAGTTAGTGGCTGACCGATTTAGGTGGAAACCCATACTAAAAAAGAGATTGAGTCTCCAGTTCACGAGCTGAATCGGTTGATCTAGTCCGAATTTCCATACAATGGTTACAACCAAAACTAGCAAAGTGTGCTAAGAAGGATAATTCACTAAGGCCCAATTCAGCCAAAAAACGAATATAGCCCAACAATGATTCTGCTCCATGCACATAAGTGGAACAACACATTTATGAAGCTATTGACAAAGTTACACCTATTCTTTTTGCCGCCCGAGATTTTTGATACACTTACACTTAACACACTACACAAAGAGGCATGAGTGGTTATTTGCTCTTTACAGTGCCAAACTTGAATTTAAAAAGAGTGTACCATTGCCATTTTCTCATACATAGGCAATGAACACGTGATTGAAGATATTGTAACAATCTACCAAACTCATACAAGACTTGCCAGTAAAAAACACCAATCTTGACTTTACGTCACCTAATCTCAACCAATGCAAATTACTTTTTCTATGCAAACTTGGCTTCCTAGACTAGCCTTGCATCTATATTTCCCCCTTCGTCTTTACAGAGGGCCCAGCTGTATTTATTTTATCAAGTAATGCTATCAAACTTTACGCTCAACACATCATACTTTTGACTGTTCTAGCATATATTTAACTTTTTAAGAAAACTGTGATAAAAAATCTTAAGAACTAGCTTAATTGTCTAATTTAATTCATACTTTTGAGAACTTACTCCTTTATATGTTTGGCACATACCTTAAGGGTTGGGATGCTCTGACCCCTTCCTCAAAAATTGAGTCAACAATTTGTTTGCAATTCATTCACATTCAGGAGTCAAATTTGAAGCCTTGCGTGCAATGCATGACAACCCCCCGCCCCCAACCACACACTCACACACAAGCGGGTATGACCATGGCAACTTATTCTAGCCCATCCAAGCAGACGCGTTGGTTGAGAGCTTTAACATGCTTTTAGGATGGATGAATCAACAGGAAATGACAAAGATGACTTAATTTGATTGAAAAAAATTTGCTCAGATCTTCCTTTTCAGCCCCTGAGAGAGGATGGCGACAAGTAAATAGTGCTAGTCAATTATGCTATTTCCTTTGCGTCACAATACAAAGAAGTGCTTCCTTTTTAGCACCCTACGAAAAAAACCTTGTTTCTGATGTTGTTAAAGAAATGATAGTATGGAGGTTGATTCTTAAAGGTATCTTATAACCCTCGGGGCATTTTCAACGATTGTCGGTACTGCCATAAACATCCCTATCATTTGCACACACTCGATTCTGCATACAAGAGACATTTTGTTGTATTCGCGGGGGAAATAATAAATAAATAAAAGCTAACCAATGATAGAGTGGTTCTACTGGGCAGGTGAGAAGAAGTCAGCACCATCAGCCCTTGAAGAGGCACCGGACAAAGCAGTGGATGACATGGCCTGGCCAAGGATAAAGATTGCTCTCTTAATTTTGTTCTTTGAACTTGACACTTACGTTTGACAATATACTTCATCAAGCTGGTAAGACAAGTTCAATAAATGGATCCCATGACTCGGTCCTGGAACTAACAGTTGGGGCGCACACTATTTTTAAATGGACATGAACAGTGTATTCTCACCAATGCGCACATATATAAGTAAAGAGCTTGCATGCATAAATTGACAGATGTGATACGACATTGGTGCATATACATTGACTCTTATCTTTAATACACAACATTTTTAACTACTCCATGAGAAATCATGATATTAGTTAAAAATAATTTATATTGATAAAATTGAAAAAAAATCATTATTTCTTGTATTAAAGATCAAAGTGTTTTTTCTGCGTGGCTCTCTCCCTAATTTTTCCCAGTGTGACTCTCCCTTAAGGCACAGTCTCTACATTCATCTTATCATGTTATGAATGAATAAGCTTCAAGGGCCAGAAGCGGACTGATTCACCAATCAGCTATTCTGGTGCACTCTACCATGAATGCTTCAATTGTGCACATCTTCCTCGCTGTTCTTTTTTTTTTTTTTTTGGTTATCTAGTACTAATACCAATGCTAATACTAATACTAATGACGACGAATAAACTGCTCCATTGAGAAAATGAAAAGATATTTTAAAATTGATTTTCTTATAAATATCTTCCTTGCAATACCGATACGCAAAATACTCAACAAAAACAAAAAATACGATCATTCGTGGATCGTGGCAGAGCGGCAAAACAAACTAGCATCACTCCGAAGCCTCAACTCTGGCGTGTGGATGGCATGAGGGAGAGAACCCTCCACGTGAAACCTCTCACGTGCAAGTGAGACCTTCGAAGGAGAGAAAGGGATAACAGAACTTGAAAGCTAGGAACAACTTCGGCTTCGGGGAGACGTTAAAAAGCACAGACAGTTCGCCCGCCGTTCGCAAATTACAAAACGACGTGCTGTCTACCCGCATTCTAGAATAATTGTTTCTCTATTAGAGGCCACCCGTCTTGTACTGGCTCAAGATTTGCCCTTTCCTCCTAATATCTGTTAGTTTAATGGTTGACGCACGTTTAACAGGATGGGCGCTCAGAAGAGCATCCATGCTGGTAAAGGTTAGTAATGCTCAAGCTTTTCATTGTACGCACTGAATTACACAATCATTTTTCTGGGCACCAGCGTATTTCCCATTTCCACTCACAACGCCTTCTACCTGTTCGAGTGTTTAACAGCTAAGATTGACGTTAATGTTGATTTCACTCACAAGCTGTGTGCTTCTTTGATGTTTCCTACACTCAGGTATCAGTTGAATTTATTATTGGAGCACTTTCCTGTTTATCAATCTTGTTTTGAATTTTCATAAGCAAATTTTTTCGCATTTATTTCTCACAGGAGCTCGGGCAGTCCACTTTCCCTGATAATTGGGAGGTAAAAATCTTAGTTTGTTTCTTGCATGTTTATCGTGTTATAATAGTGGAATGCGGATTTAAGATTTTCAGAGATTGTATTACAATGATGTATTGTTAATTGAGTTCTTTGTTGGGGCATATCCCAGAACAGCATAATGATTTATTCCAACTTTTTCTTTTAGTCTTTGCATCAAACATCCTAACTTATTTGGAGGAAGTGAGAAGCTTGATGTTTCGTGGGATAAGGGTCTATATGATTCAAATATCCTGGTTGCTTACAGAAGGCCAAGACCCGAGTGGCTAGCTCAGCAGTCTTTTGTTATACAGGTGTTCATTCTGCTTCTTCTTTATTAATCGTTATTTTGTATGGTATAGGGACAATGCAATGGCATACTGAGCAATATTTATTACTTTCCTGTGGAACTCTCTTTGTGCCCAGTGAAGGAGATTGAGATAAACTAATTAAGCTGTTTTATCTTTGAGATATATAATTTATGGTTCAACATAATAGCATATTCCTGAATTTATAATTCTTGCTCCTTATTCTCTCTCAGCATTCTCTTTCACCCGAGATTGGAGTCCATGGTATACCTATAGAGAACTTCTCCCGTTCAGTCAGTGGAGGCATAAATTTATCTCGATTCTCTTTGGGTTTGGATCTGAATGAACCACCAAGTTCAAAATGGAGAAACACAACCAGCATCAAATTTGAGGTTAAGTTGGACATTTCATGAATCTATCAAACATTCTTGCCCAATTTGTATTTGTTTTCGTGCTTTATAATCATCCACAAGATTACAGTTCTTGGTTTGCTGATGGATAGAGTGGAAACTAATTATTCTAAACTGTGCAGCACGTGCGTCCAGTGAATGATGATGGTCGCTCCACAAGTAGAGATTATGAAGGGTTTCCTTTGACTTGCAGGTAATAACGGCTTCCAGTATTCTTGTACTCTTACTGTTGAACTGATTTGACCGAATGATACAAATTACTTGTTGCAGTGGTAATCCACATGACAGTATGGTAGTGTTAAAGCAGGAGTCTCGATTTGCGAAGGCAGATGATTGTAGCTTTCTCCAAGTAAAGTGTTATTTTTCTACTTTTTTATGTTTAATGTAGGGATCCAGTTGTCTTTGTCTGCCACTGATTGAAAGCCTGTCTCTTTCTCAGTTCAATCTTCAAATAGAACAAGGTATTCCAGTTTTTTCAAAGTGGCTAATCTTCAATCGGTTTAAGTTTGCTGCTTCCAAAGGAATCAAACTTGGACCAACATTTCTCTTGACAAGGTTAGCATTCTCTAGCAGTTGTGGAGTAAATAGTTGCTGTCTTTTTATTTAATGTAACTAAGAGGTGTTAAAGAAGAAATGCTAAATGTTATCAAAGAATCAATGCAATATCATTTGTGATGTCAACCTTAAAAAAAAAAAAATGTGATGAGTGTTGTATGATACATAGATTCATCATGAAAATGTGAAATTATTGCTATATATATATTAACATTGAGAAGGAATTAGAAGCTAAAGAAATTATCTTCGCAAGGCTAAAAGCTGTGAAGAAAATTTATGATAGGCACAAGTTGTTTTCTGAAGTAATTGGAGACTATCAAAGTGGAACTGCAATAAACTTATAATTTCGGTCCCCAACCAAAAAAAAAACTTATATTGCATTAATGTTTAGACTCAAGCATGTGAATCGTGAATCTTGATTTTTACCTGATATATAGTTCTCCTCTTTTTGTATTCTTCCTTTTTTCCACAATCATCCTTACCTTTCCCTCTGGCAGCCTTACAGGCGGTTCAATTGTTGGGGACATGGCTCCTTACCAAGCCTTTTCCGTTGGAGGGCTTGGGAGTGTGCGTGGGTATGGTGAAGGAGCTATTGGATCAGGGCGATCATGTCTGGTTGCTAATAGTGAACTGAAAATCCCTTTGGTAAGCGATGGCTTTATTCATATTTTTTGTTCCTCCTCTCATCTGCTTTCAGCACTTTTAGGTCCATCAGCCCTGGGCCCATTGCATTCTTATGCTGCTAAACTGTTTCACTTTCGGGCAAAGAACTTGCTTAAGTTGTATTCTGTTAGAAGTGCTACTGTGCTTAGTAAGATGCTAGAAAGTTTGAATTTCCTTTTTCCCCTTTTATGTGGGAGCGTGATCCCATATTGCCTGTCTTATGAAAAAAAAATGCTTTTACAATTTTAAATGTCAAAGTATCTTAATCCCTATTTATAGTATATTATCATTTGGGCAGAGGTTGATGGAGTATTATATCTGGCTGTGTTTGGTCCATTTTGCTTGCAACTTGTGCAACTGGTTAAATTGACTACTGTCCCTATCCAGCCCTACGGTCCCTTATTTTTGCTCCAGTTTTGTGGCTTTATTTGTGTCAAAGCCCTACTGCTCTTAGGGGTTTCCATTATTCTCCATTCTTGTAGGTTCCCATTCCTCTCCATTTGAGAAAGTAAAAAAGGAATCTATATTTTGCCTGTCAGCTTTTGCAATCGTAATTCTGCCCAATGCATCATATCCAGCCCTTCTACTGCATGCTTCCGTGGCATATAAGTATAGAAATCTCTGTATTTTAAATTACTAATCCTCCTGATTTCTGTTGTTGAGCAGGCGCTAAAATATATGTAGACATTGGTCACATCTTTACACAAAAATAGAAGGGATACGTGACATATCTGCTTGACTAAAAATTAGTCATGTATTTTCTTTTTCTGTCACAAAAGCACTCACACACAGAGGCTTAAATACAAGCATGTTACACACATTTTGAATCTATCACGTTTTTTGTTAAATGACCATATACTAAACTACTTGAGTGCTCGCTTGCCATAGAACAAAATGTTGGAAGCTGCTGTTTTCTTTGATTGTGGAACTGATTTGGGATCTGGTCATCTTGTACCTGGTGAGTAATATTTTTCTTCTCTGGGTACTTGAGAGTGACTTGCAAATTTTCCTCCTATTGAATAAGAGTTCATTTATATTGTGCTTCTCTGGTGCTTGTCAAATGGAAATTGAGCACTTCCTGTTCAGGCCATTTATGTAGACAAAATGGAATGGCTCAAAAAGTTTATCTGTTTCTGTTGTAATAAACATTGACCCATGGGCAAAACGGCAAAGCTTGATTACACTGTATTTATAATTGAAGAGCCCAGAATAGTGCAGCTGATTGCCGTGGGTCATATTTCATGGACAAGCATTTCATACATAATTTCAGAATCTGAAATCTGGTCTGGATTGGATTTGGAATAATTACAACGACTTCCACTTGAGCATAATTTTATATTGGTATTTTCTGTGGTCAAAGACTAGCATTCGAGGCCTTCCACATATTTAGGGTCATCTGTACTTTTGTCTAATACATAAAAAAAAGATCCATTGTATGGATTTGATGGAATGAAAAGTAGGCTTGGGGTGGGGCACAACAAAATTGTAAATTGAATGATTATGAACCCATCTCACTCAAGCGGTAGTCGAAAGCCTTGTTGCTGAGTGACAATTTGTATTTATATATAAGGGTCACCGTAATAAGAAAGCTAGGGCCATGTCATATTCATGAGAAATGACATTCCATGTTATTTATTTTATTCAGGAGCCCGATCATGAGTTAACACAAATTCCATTCTCATGCAGAACAACGAGTAGGTCACATAAAAGCAGATCCTTTTTATGCTAGACTTTATCTAACATCGCCTCCCCCACCCCGCAAACATAGTTTTACTTTACTGATTTTCCATTGATACATAATTATTTGGCATGGATTAATTAATTTTGATAACTTTTGGTCTGTCTATTTCTGCATATAGTAAATTACTTTTGCGGCCTTTCTCCTATATCCCTATTTATTTGACAGTGATCTCATGGCGCTAATCTTGGAAATTCAGGAAATCCATCCTTAAGACAGGGTAAACCAGGATCTGGTATTGGGTTAGGATGTGGACTTCGGTTTAAATCACAGTGCGGTCACTTTCAAGTGGATTATGCCATCAATGCATTTCAACAAAGAGCTCTCTATTTTAGTCTCAGCAATTTTGGTTCATGAGATCCTCAAACCCAGGAAGTTGCAGTCGCTGGCCATCTGCTGTGTTTTCTCATCCCCGATTAACCGCAGAAGTCTTATGGCAGATTGAATGCTGATGGTACAGAGGCTTGTGCTGTTTCATCCGGAGTTAATCATCACATCAGCTTTAAAAATTTCATTCTCTATAATTTTTTAACCCGACAATAAATTATGTTTGTGGAGAGAGGAGCTGTTAGTACATTCTTTTTCCGGATACAGTACATGATGGATGACCCAATTTTTTCTCCTTGTTTTGTACATGTAGCTGAAATTTTTCTGTGTGGTCTCCCTCTTGTTAATGAATCCAGAAAGATTGATGTTTTACTGTAAATCATGTTCAATCCAAGGAGATATGAGAAAGTTGATACACACGAACGGAAGCAACCTTCTATTTGAGCTTGCCAATAGTTCTGCAGCAAACCCCCCGGGAGGTGGATGAGTTAAGAATTAACATGTATATCTAAATTCTTCTGGACTTTATAGTCTATACCAAAGGGGGGAAAGAGTCTTCAAGACTCCATTTGATTGTGATATAAAAACATAATTTCAAGCACATATTGCACTATGATTATCTTAATTTTGTATGAAGTGATAACGAAGTAGATTTTCTTAGAGCTCGTAATAGCAAGATCCCTTATTCTTGGTTTTTGTAACAGATGCGTATGTTTTGTCATTGCAGATGTTTTGGAACCCATCATGGAAAGTAGCCGATTTATCTATTTCGTCTATTTGTGTGCATGAATTGTTGGATGGTTATTTGGAATGAAAGTGAAGTGGCATTTCAAAAAAAGGGGTAGGATAAACATGTCCCGCTGACCATTCATGTAATGTTCCCTTACAATGTGGCCTCTGTTTTGTTGAAGAAAATGTTGGTGGGAATGGCTTTCTGGAAGAACCAAAAAAAAAAAAAAAAAAAAAAGATGAAGGAGAAAGTTGTGTATGATGTTTTCAAGATGTAAGTAATACTTTTCTTTAAGCTTAATTCACCCTCACTTATTCCAATCTTTGAGTGCAAGTTGGGTTGATGTTAAATCTTTTTCAGAATGCAATGAAGACCTTTAAATATGATTTGCACTATCAAAACTCAAACCAAGATAATAATAGTTTTTATTTGGCTTGAGTTTTGGAAGTATAAATCATGTTTAAAGGTTTTCATTATATCTTGAAGGAAATTCGTCATCAACCCAACTTGCACCCCAAAATTGGAATAGGTGGGAGAAAATTAAATCTTAAAAAAGTGTTGTTTATATCTTGAAGAATGTCACGAGTCTCACATCGGGGAGCCTCACAAGTATTGTGGGGTTTATAAGTGTGAGGGGTTCTCTCATCCAACAGGCTAGTCTTTTGGGATGGGTTCTCCCTTTAGGCTTGTGCTCGTCACATTGGTGCTTTCATTGAGAGTTCGGTGTCACAAAAAGGACTACCTACGGAGGGTTCTAACCGGCCGAAGGCCGAGTGAAGTGCCGTGGAGTGAAGCCACCGGGGACGTCGTCTCTTGACGGGGTGGCATTGTCACGAGTCCCACATCGAGGAGCCTCACAAGTATTGTGGGGTTTATAAATGTGAGAGGCTCTCTCACCCAACAGGCTAGTCTTTTGAGATGGATTCTCCCTTTGAGCTTGTGCTCGTCACAAAAAAGTTGTGCATAACTTTCTTCTTCATCTTTATTTCTTTAAGAGCCATCCCCACCAATAAAAAACAAGGCAGAAACCTAACCGTTGATTAATGACATAGCCTTGAAAATGTTTTAAATGAGTCATGATGGAGATCTTTGACGTCCCCGAATCGTTCGGTGAGAAAATATAAAACTACAAAGAGATGTGGTGTTAAGAGAAGTTGCGTTCCTCAGCTTTCTCGTCGAAGTTGGACAAGACCTGCCTCATAAATTAAGGATGATTCCCAATAAATTACACGCATGATTATTGCCTCGATCGATCCCTTCGTTTGTTTCTGTTTGCGTGGAATTGAACCCTCGCGTACAATAAAATCATACTGGTATACTCTTTTTTCTTTTCCTTTTTTCCCGGCCAATCAACTCCTACGTTTATTTTGTCGCCCGTGGATCTCAACATGAAATTATAAAGAACATGACAACGTGCTTTGTTGGAAAGTTTCATTCAGCAAACAACGACCAAGAGGCCATAGGAGACCAAGTTTTTGGCTCTTGTGCGCGGACCTTGATTGTTTTTCAAGTAATGGAAACTATTTTAATACATGGAGCCCGTGTGATTGGATAAATAATGATCAAACATTCATGCAAGTATAATGTATTCATTGCCGTGTTATGAGTCGTTGAATTCCAGCATGTTCGGGTTAGCTGACGCCAACAACCCAATCCAATACTAGCAATTAGCAAAGATATCAGGACATGAAAAAGAAAAGGAAAAGGAAAAGGAAAATAAAATAAAATAAAAATAAAGGCGAGCCCTGCAGAAGCTCAAACAACCACACCCATAAAGGAGTATATCGGACTAGGGCGAGGCTTGCAATTCATCTTTTGAAAGGGTGTATGATGCCATCGTACATTCCCTCACCTGATGAGACATGAGTTGCTAGATATTTTTTCTGGGTTGAAAGAGTTGGCAGACTCCATGAGGATTAAATGCTTCCTGCCATGGTTGTTTCGAGCTTTGAGATGTTACACCTCACAGTTCCGTGACCCATGTCCCCAGGTGAGCAACGTGGCACTGAACAATTGTTCAAGGCAGATATTATACACTATTATATATGAAAAAATGACAATTAAGAATTTCATAGGATCATTAAATATAATTAAGTATTTTAAATTATTAAAATTTTAATAATAGACTGCGATGTCTACTTGAAATTAAAAATAAATGTGAGTTTTTAAAATTATTTTTTAGCAAATGTAAAAAAATAACTGATTGACTCTCACTTAAAAATTAATAGACATCATTGAAATTACTATTATAAATTGGAATTATTATAATCTCAATTAAAAAAATTAGGATCTTTACTTGAAAATGAGATTAACAATAGTTACAACTCGTAATAGTAATTTCAGTAGTCATAACCTAACACTTAGGATTTTGATTTTTTTAACTAAAATTAACAATAGTTTTAACTCATGATAATAATTTTAATAATAGCTTTTCTTAATTTTTCAAGCAGTTTATTTATATATTGACAAGTACTACAAGCGACTATCGTATAATTATAACTGCCTTCCAAAAGTTTATAAGTAAATTTCAGTTTTATATCACAAAACAACCAATTTTTAAGTACAGATCATGATTTTATCAATTAAAATTAACAATTATCTCAACACAAAATAATAATTCCTGTAGTGTTTTTTCTTAATTTTTTAAATAAGACTCAATAAACTGTTTTTTATGTTTACTCAAAAGCAATTTTATAAATTCATATATTTTTAATTTAAATAAAGACGATGGTTTATTATTTGAATTTTGATAATTTAAGTTCTTTAATTATAATTAATAATTTTATGATATTTTTAATTACCATTTTTCCTACATATATTGGCCACCACTATACGTTTTTGTGGTGTGTGTGTATAGTAGAATTTTTATAAAATTTATATTTCTTGGTGGAAATCTACTTTTGTAGTATACATGAATAGTATACGATGTAAAGGAGGCAAGCCGTCGAAATTCTTTTAAGAATTCGCTTGTTTATTTATAAAACTGATTAAAATTAGTAATAGCTCCTGCCTCCTCCACGTTCATCTAATATTTCATTCCCCAATATGCTGGCCTCTAGATCTGGTCCTGCATATAGATAGACAATTAGATATATAAATATACATTCATTGCAAACAATAGCTATTTACCAATCCTTTATCAACGGAAAAAAAAATTACCAAAAACAACAATCAGAGATGGTGGATTGTCATTGGCCTGAATCCGGGAACGACACGTCGACGCCTGCAAGGCTACTGATAAACAGGCGAAAATGAGTCAAGTCTCTATCCAGAATTTACGCTCTAAAGTGCAACCTACTTTAAGTGAAACTTAATTTATTTATTAATTTAAATTTATTTAATTAAATAAGTTAGGTTTAATCTTTTAAAATCTAACATACAAGTTTAACATATCAATTTATTTAAATAAATATTATGCAACATATCACACACACGTTATTTTCACAATTTACTTTTTAATTAATCTATTTTTTTTATTGTAGTTATATTCCAATCAGATTAAACATATATATTACTTTTATATTATTATTTTATTATTTATATTATAGTTAATAAATTTTTTTTATTATTATATTTATTATAATTGATAAATTTAGACTGTATATTTAAAACATTTAAAATTAAAATATGAGCTTATTTAAAAGTTTTTATTTTGAATAAATTTTTAAATAAACTTTTAAAACAAGCCATATTTTAAATATGTTTAAATTTAAACAGTAAAAAAACTTTATATAAATTTAAAATTAAATTCAAGCTTTTAATTTATCATAATTAAAGCCTCATCTTTATATAAATTTAAAATTAAATTCAAGCTTTTAATTTATCATAATTAAAGCCTCATTCGACCGAATCGATTTTCACTTCTACCGGCAAAAACGCCAACATGGATTTTTATCCTTTCGACTAACAACGCCATCAAGGAAATAAAATTTGTAATTTAAAAAAAATCGAGAAAGAGAAAGAACCCCACCGACACCTTCAATTTTTGTCGTGACCGAAACGTCCGCTCATTGCACTTTCCAAGTCAAAGCACTGGCCCCCAGCATCGGCTGCCCAATGTGAGGTCAGAATTTATTTTTCTTTTATTGCAATATCAACCTCATCTTTTTGCTTGATGAAATGCGAAAACTTGCACCCTCCGTTTTAAAAATATAAAATATTTTAATTTAATACTTAAAGGTATAACTTATAATTTTTTAAAATATTTTAATAAATAAATTAATTTATTTTTATTTTAAAATAAATTTATTAAATATGAAAAGATGATAATAATTTAAAATAACTAATTATTTTATTGAAGGTGAGACTTTATTAAAAATATTTCTATTTTTAAATGAATGAAATATTTAGTCACCAAATATTTACAAAATGTTAATAACAATCAGAAAGCTACTATTTCTTCTTACATTTCCGATCACGTTAAAATGCTGAAATTTTTTCCTTTATTATAAAATCAGTTTCAAGTATCCTCAGGTTTAAAAAAATGTGTTCATAGAAAATGTGAGTGCCATTAAGTAATCCAATCTGAAACACGCGATGATGAAAGGGTTCGGCATAGCTTGGTGCATAGTCCATTGATCTAACTTGTCTGGGACTCAATTTTCTCTCTCCCATGGGAAAAGAAAGGAATCTACTCTCGCTTTTTATTGTTTCCTTTCTTTATTTTTAAATACTAATAATTCAATAGCGACCGTGGACGCAAGAGTTCCTCAGGCTGATTCGTTTTCTACACGGTTCATCCTTACGTTGCAGATTGAACCCCAAGTCCTTTAATTAGCCAGTCCTCCAAAACCGCAAGATCATTGCTTTATTGTGAAATAGAAAATTCCAAAAAGAACAAAAACAAAGATAAAGTGTAGGAGGAATGGAGGGGGAATCTGAATCCTCTTCACTCACCTCTCTTCCTCTCTCCTTCGGCCAGATCCCGGGAATGAAATTAAAAGGACAGGAGCATGGACAAATCATTTTGCCAAACTAGGTTTTATATCCATGCAATGCATGAAAAAATTAAGTTTCAATTGTAATATAAAAAAATAAAGAGGAAAGAAGATTTTAATGAGTTTAATTTTTAAAATGAGTAAAAGATAAAATCTTTTAATATAGATGAAATGCAAATGAAATAAGTAAATAAAATTATTTACAAATTTTAAACTATACTTATCTATATAATTATAAAAACTATTCAACATCCTATATTTTAAATTAAATAAAACTTTTAAAAAATATTTTATATTATAAATCGGAAAGAATAATTTTTAGTATTAGTTTTATATTTACCATTTCATTTTTTCACTATAGGTCCTATGTCCACCTTATTATAAAGCCTTATAATCTTTTATTTTATTTATTATATACAAAATTTAAAAATTATTATAATATATATATATATATATATAAAAAGATGACAGACTGTAGAGCTATAGAAGCAATCCGATGCAAGTTACAAGAGAGGAAAGATGTCCAGATGTCGGCAAATCTTTAACTTTTTATTTTTTAGAAGAAAGACTTATGTAGTTAATTTTATATATTTAAAATATTTTTTTAATTAAGTCAAATGGATATATTTTTATGAATTATTTATTGTATAATAAATTATTACTATTAATATTATTAATACATTAAAATTTATATATTTTCTGATCTTATTTATAAGACACTTCTCATATGTTTTATCGTAGTAAAGAAAAATATTAAAATTTATTAATTCTATCTAAAAATTTAATAATTTCATAACTTTAAATTCTATTAAATATACATATTTAATAATGCATTTTCTCTTCATAACATTTAATAGAGGTCAAATAAAAAAATTTATAATAAAAATTTAATGAGATGACTTATAAATATGAAAAAAATTATTCTCTTTTTGTCTTATAAATAAGACAAAAAATAATTAAAATATATTAATGTATAAAACTAAATAAATAAGTCTCCTTTTCCGGTTCTATTTTTTCTCCCCTCCCTCCTAATAAAAGCATTGTTTGACCCACTTGCCTTTATTGTCACAAGATTTGTAACCCAAAAAAATTGATAACAATAAAGCATTGTTGCATGTTGAGCTCTTTCCAAGGTACTCCACAATATATACAACACAAAATATTAGTGCCTGTTTGAATGATGTATATGGTGAATTTTAGACGCTAAAATTATGATTTCGTGAGAATATGATCAACCATCCTATTGCATCTTAAAATCAATTATAAACTTAAAATCATATTTAAAAAAAATATATTAAAACTCTCATCATGCATGCCAAAAATAATTTTGAATCTAAAACTATGTTTTTTTTAAATATTCAAACACCTCTGTATATATAAAAATCAATTATAAATTTAAAAATATGATTAGTAAAATAATTTATATGATTTTTGGACAATTTTTTTAAAAAAATATAATTGAAATATAAATTAAAAAAGAAGTAATAATAACTAATGAACAACTATAATTTCAAGTTCATTATTAATTTTGATATATATGGAAGTGTTTAGATAATTTTTAGAAAATAATAATTTTAAGTTAATAATTTATTTTGACATATATAATATGCGTTTGGATATCTTTTGAAAATATAGTTTTAAATTTATAGTTAATTTTAATATGCAACAAAGATATTTGAATATATTTTCACAAAATTATAATTTACTTATTTTTAATTTTACTTTTCAATTAATTTTAATTTTAATTAAAATCAATCTCATTAATTAATTTTATAAATCAATACCTCATAACATAATTAATTATATTCAAAATCAATTATATTGGTCAATTTTTTCATAATCAATTATACTCGCATGAAATCCAAACACACATTTACTCTCCCGCATTGATTTCTTACCATTCCTTTCATAAACTCGGTTACAGCACCAATGATCGAACTCACGCAATGACTATAGAACGCAAGTGTTAATTAATTTTGGATATAAACAATGCTGGCGCGTAAGTTTGGAATAAAAGGGTGCGAGAGCACTTTACCCCAAAAAAGAAAAAAAGTGAGAGCAGCACCACTCTATAAAACATCTCATTCATGACTTGCATCGTCTTCTCTGGCTGCTCTTGCTCACTACTATTTTTCCTTATATCAACTATCCTACACTAGTCTAAAGTACCGCTTTTCCTTTGAACACAAGGAGTAATATCCGTTCTTTTTTTTTTCCTCCTTCGATTCCTCATTCCGTGTCTCACTTTCTCGGTTGGACTATTGTGGGCTATATATAGGTTGTGGGCTATTCATGCCTCTTCAAACTATATACGCCATATCAAGCTACTGCAAGCAACAGCACGCAAAACTAATTCGCCATACGTAAGTTTCTTCACCGATCTTAACACCTGCGAAATTTTCTTCACCGATCTTAACACCTGCGAAATTAGAAATCATAAATTTAGTTGAATCACGGTATATGATATAGAAATTTCACGGTCCTCTAAACATCCTAATATGGTTGGCGAGTGCTTGATGTGCGAATAGTTTTGTACACGGAGCAGAAGAAATAGAAAAACAGCCAGGAAAAAACCGACAGATAATGCCATGTGAATGCTTCTAGTTATATTCGCATGCATTGAACTTGGTTGTTGGTTTTTAGAACTATTGAGCATCAGCTCTGATTTCGATAAAGAAAATAACCAGAATAATGGATGCATGCTATTTTGACATTCATATTCTACAATGTCTCTTAACCCCATCAGAAAGTTTTGCATAGCACTCATGCCAAAAAGCAGTTCAGCATACAGTTTTCACACAAAGAGAGAATCCCATTCCCAGTAAAATATGTCACACTTGATATTCTAAAACCAGCAACCTGATCACTCCAATTTTCAACAGCCTCTCAACCCTCAACTGCTTTTAATTCCAGCCTCCGAACAAGACGACTTTTGACAATACGAACAAAAATGGAGCTACCAAAGAATAATAGACAGTAAGTGGAGGATAGAAGAGCACAAAACTTCCACCACCCGATTCTAATATACAATGGATATTAAAAGAAGGGCAAGATTGATAGACTTTTCAACAGCAAGGCAAGATTGATAGACTTTTCAAACAGAAAAAGTTTCCAACTCATTGAGCCCCCCACTCTGTAATGCCCAAACACCGAAAATATCGCCAACCAAATTAATGAAACAACAGAAGATAATACATCACTTACCAAAAGCATATTTCAGTCCTTGAAAATGACTGATTTAGCTAGACGCATCAATGGCTGCAAGCTATCAGGGGCAAATTTCGGGCAAATAAAAAAAGAATCTGACTGTTTGATTCCCTTAATCGATGAATGAGCTCCTTAGACACTTCGGAAGGCCGGTACGTGTAAGGGTGGCCATTCACTGTACCAGTCCAATTAACTCGCGTAAGCGTGTATTTGGTGCATCCATCGGCATCCGCCATCGATAACAAGGTAGGAAAATAATGTTTCCTCAGGGTAGCAGTCGTTGTAACAGGACAATTTGAATTTCCTCCATAGGGTACGATCTTTGATCACCACCAACGCGTGTCGTCGGGTGAGCGCAAAAAACTGAGATCCCACACGAAATTGTTCGAAGGACACCTCCGGCATCATCGCAAATCGACCTCTGGCAATGTATCGCTTCCAAAGACGGGGCTCACTGGAGATTATTTCTATGAAACTCCTGTACCTCTTCCGAACACCCAGACGAGACAAGGGCGGAATCAGATTCAGGGGAGGATCAGATTCAGGGGAGGTCAGATCGAATGTAGAGGACACAAAAGGGAGCGGTACACGTATCTGAAAGAGTGAAGAGGTATACAGTATTGGGAGAGGACAACAAAGTAGGCATTTGCGGGGTCGTCGATGAGGGCAGTTGCCAGAAGTCGGCGCGTTGCAGAGATGAGATGGGTGACGCACGATAGGTTTCGCTTCGCTGGAACGGATCGCCCCGGAAAACACCACTGGTGGGGCGCGTGACGTTCACAGCGGGATCTGCATGGACGTAGATGTTGTAAAGATTGGTGGGGCGCCGTCGAAGAGCGATCCCAAAGAGGGGCCAAATGTAGGTCAGAATTGTGGAGGAAGAGAAGGCAAGCTTGAGCTTTGGATTTTTTGAGGAAGAAATGGAAAACTTTAGGTCAGAATTTGTGAGGAAGAGAAAGGCAAGCTTGAGCTTTGGATTTTTGAGGAAGAAAGACGGAAAACTTTGGAGGGATTTGTTGGCGCTGGAGGAAGATTGTGAAGCTGCGCGATTGAAGAGAGAGAGATCATCAAGTTCGTCGTCGAGGGAAATGGGGACGGAAGTGCGGCGAGGGGGAAGGACACGAGGGGCGAGTAAGTAGACGATGGCAGAGAAAGGAGAAGAGCGCAAGTGAGAACAAATGGGTTAGAGTACATTTGAACCAGCTAGAAGCAATGCTAGGGAAAGGAATCGATGGGGGAAGTGGAAGGAAAGGATGCGAAATTCGCGGGGGACGGATTGTGGGTCTTGGGATGAATGGTCTGCAAGTGTGAGAGGAAAGGCGGGAAAAAGTGGGGAATGTATGTGACCAGAAGGGGTCTGGAATTGTAGAAAATTCAGCGAAAGAAAATCGAAAGACTGGATCTGCTTCTCGGGACGGCCCTGGGGGAGCGCAGGAGGGAATTGAAAGTTGGAGGCAGCTTCTCGTTCTGTGAAATAGGCAAGGAGGGAGAAGGAGATGATGATGGGACACCATCACCCAAATCTCATCGGTGCAAGGGGGTAGGGCCGTGAGGTCTAGGTTTTTTTCCCCACCCTTAAAAAAAAAAAAAAATTCCACTTGAGGTGATACTGTTGGGCCAGTGTAAAATTAATTTTTTAAAACTGATACCTATAAAACATGTTTTAAAACAAAAATTTATAAATTATTTCAAAACATGTTTAAAAAAAAAAAAAAATTTGTTGAATTAACTTGCTTTACATAATTAATATTAACATAATTTTTTATATTAATTTAATATTATATTATAATTAAAATTAATTTAATAAAAATTTTGAATACAACCACAACAAATTAATAAAAGTAACATTAACAAACAGAAAAGTGTCAGATTGTTTAATGAATAGCTTGACTTTAAGTTTCAATTTTTATATTTTTACATTTTTAAAATAAAATAAACTATTATATATGATAAATTTTTTTTTGAAAATGTTATATTAATAATGATATAATTATTTTTTTTCAAGTAATATTAATAATTTAACTATTTTTTTGATTCATGAGAAAGTGATAATAGAAATTTCATACACAAAAACTAATGGGAATGCATGCTTTTTAAAGAACTCTAAAACTTTGCCAAAAATTTAAAAAAATCACTCTAAAACTAAAATGCAGAGACTCTTTTAACTCTTATATTTTAACCTGACTTTAATATTTTTTATAAATCATGTTTTTAGCAGTTTGAATAAGGAGTATTAATTAATCGTATGAATGAAAATTTATCATATAAATAAAGATTTTGGTTATGTACCCAAAAAATAGACATTATTTAATTATTGTTGACATTAAATGATTTTAACATCAATACAATCCTTTTTTTTTTAATCTGAACATCAATACAATCCTCAAAGTCATCAATTATATAAAAACAAAAAAAATATAATAATATGATTTATCCTTTTTAATTGGAGTTTTTTTAGAAGAAAAGAAAAATCTAATTGAGCAAATCTCGTTCTATGCCTTTGTCAGTTTGTCTAAAGCATCTTCAGTGAGGATCTGTTGAAACTCAACTAGAGGAACTTCAAGGATGGTTCTTCGTCCAAGCACAATTTGCTTAAAAAAAGACTCTGTCATGATGATTCTCTCTAAAAACGTATGTGATCTCAACTATATCTAGTCTCTGTAGAAGTTTGTGGATCTTTCTCAGTAATCAGCATTTGCATTTTGATGAGAATAGTCATGATTTATCAAACTCACTGCTAGAAGGCAATCCACATCAAGCTTCACTTGCCTGTACCCTAGGTCCCATGCCAACTCAAAGCCCATCAACAATTTTCCAAATCTTTCCTTGCTGTACAGGCACTGATATTTCCGCAGAAAACCAGTGAGCAAGTCCCCTCCACATCTCATAAAAGTTAACAACTCAGGCTCTATTAGTTTCACCTTGTTTTTGAGTGAAAAACGAATTTCCTTCAAAACGAAGACCGTACATCAAGGAATTCAGTGTACACAAAATAGAAACCAGATTCTAAAAAAGAATGATTCGGTCATTAAGAGACCAAGTGCTACTTCTAGAAATTAGGTGGCGCATGTCATTGACTTTAACTGTGTGACTGGCTAGAGCCTTGACCTCGTTGATAAGACTAGATTTATTACAAAACAGTCTTCTATTTTTGGAGTTCCATAATTTCCAGCACACGAGACCAGAGGTGATATTCCAACTTCCAAGTAGAACTCCGCTTGGTAGGAGTTAGGTTGGTTTCCATCTAATTGTTAAAAGGATCAAAGAAGAAAGTTTGTTAGTTGTAGGTGATCTGCCTCGATTTTACAGTGTCATGGGCCCGTGGAATGGACATTTCCTTGAGACATGATTAAGATCTTCAGTAGCTCCCACACAAAAAGAACAAGTGGAATCTTGAGCCAGCCACAAAAACGCTATCTCACACTGAGCCTCGAGCCATTACCAAAGCCGAGTCCCATTTTGGATTGCTATATTCCCAATTAGATGGCATAGTCATTCTATATGTTGACTTAAAAGAACATTTACCATCGCTAAAGAGACTTTATTGACATCTACCAATTTCACCTTTCATCACCCCATCACCGTTTAGAGAAACCCAATTAGTCAATCCGGTTTCTTATAGACAATAACTCTTTCCTCCTCATGCACACACAACATCCTCTAGCTTGCTCCACTGCTTTCTCAGGGACTTGTCGCTAAACGCACTGAGAACTTTGATCTCTCGTCAAATTTGGTTAGCTTTTATGGTTTCTTGTGAAAAGATAGTTTTATCCCTTGCTTCCCATAGCTTCCAACAAGCATTGTTAACCCATGGGACGTTCTGTGCGTCCTAAATCTATCTCGAGTGAGGTTCCTTAGCATCCATCCGCGCTATCATCACCCATCTCAGATTGTCTTATACCTACAAAAAGAAGAGATCTCTTTTGAAGATATCCCAATTCCATGTTCCATCAAATTCAACCAAGTTTGAAACTGAGTGAGAGCTGGAGCACAGCCAGAAATTTTTATCAAGGGGAGCTAAGATTACATAATAAAAAACATTCATATAAAAAATTTTCAATAATTGGCTATTACAAAAAGAAATAACTTTTTTTAAAAAACCTTTCAATCTTAATCTTTTAACTTTTGATAAGTAATTTTGTAAAAGATATCAAATACATAACGTTCAAGGTATTTTAAGATTTTTATTACAATATTGACAAAATTTATTAGTAATTTTCATAATTTCTCTCATTAATGTAAAATGAAAAAAAATCAAATGATATCCATATTTTACAAGTATGTATAACATGACCTTATTGAAATAAGTAGGTCACGTGATAGCTATATTTTGTTGCGACTAATGGGTATATTTTAAATTTGAGTCATGCAAATAATACTAGTATTCAGAGCTATTCTACTATATATCGATCACACAATGACTCTCCAAGATTAAACAGATTTGTTTTGCAAAACTTAATAAGGGCACAAAATAATTGAGACTAGCAGAATAATACTTAGTAAGTGCAATACAACACAGAGTCAGAGGAGAGATTTGACTTGAAAATTCAAGAGTCTCGTACTATTTGACACCTCAGACTATATATAAGTGTAGCCACATGGATGACTTTAAAATAGCAATTAAGTACCAATTTTAAGGAAATAATAACTCATAAAGGCACATTATGTTCATGTTTTTTGAATGTTGAGGAGCTGTGGAGGTTACGACAATAAAAACAATCATTGAATATTAGTTTTGTCTTGTGCATGCGAGCCCACTTTTTTTTCAAGCCTATTTACTAG